CTGTGGTCTTTTATTAAACTCTCCGTATCTTTCCCAACTATAGAAGTTACACTAACAGCTCTATAATTACTTGGGAAAGATTTTCAGCCCTTTTTAAATATTGACACCACATTACAGGACACCAGTTGTTCATTCATAGACCCGGGTTTTATACCGCTGCCGTCGGGTGATTGGACATGCCCCCAGTGCACCCTCATATGACCCCGCCCATTCTGGGAGGCTCTAGTTTTGTAGTAGGCAGCAAGGAGAGACAGAAGAGGGGGAGGGGCCTGTGCTCTATTATATGGAATTTACAGGTGAGTCAAAAATTCCAATGATCTTAATCCCGTTATCCCATTGTCCTAATCGTACAGGAGGTGTAGTCACAGACCTTAGGACATCCCTCGCCGAGGGGTTGCCCAACACATCGCAAACTGGCCCACAAGAAAATAAACGTCACCGAACCTGGACCTCTCATAGCACCTTACATCTGAAGCCCACAGAAGAGGTCTGGAGATCCACCAAAACTTTGACACAACTTTATTGTTTATGTTTTTCACATGAGAATTGCTTTGTATTGATCACTTATTGATCCTAGCGCTGCTTTTTGTTTTCTATTTTGATTACCTGGTATCACAGCTTACAGCAGCTGATTATTCCCTTGTATTGGTGTTTTAGCGCGGATCTAATTTTGGTTATTTTTTGATTTTTAAAACTTTGAGACAGTGTGAACAGAAGAAAAGGTGGCAGCTTTGCAGACCTGTGAAATGGATGCTTGATACCAAACACGAACCCTAACCTGAAAGCAACAGATCTGGTGGAGTGGGTCTTGATAGGGGAGAACCTGGAAATGAGCTGCCTGAGGCACCTAAATATGATGGAAGAGGAAGCAGGATGACCTTTCTTGGGACCTTCAGAGAGGACAGAAAGGGATACAGGTTTTCGGAAGATGGTGAAGCAGCTAAACTAAAACTGCTCTGACCACATCCACGTAATGGAGAGAAATCTTGGCGTACCTTGGGACAGGACACAGGGAAGGGAGGGCAGTACCCTCACTGAGGTGAAAAGAAGACACCATCTTGGGGAACAAGGAGCGTTTGGGTCTCAGGACCACCTTATCTACATGTAGGATAAGAAAAAGTTCTTTACAAGAAAGAGCTGGCAATTGGGAGACACTCCTGATGGAGGTAATGGCCACCAAAAAGGCCACTTTGAAGGACCAAAAATACCAGATTAACATCCCAGGGCAACACTGGAGTTCAGAGTGGGGGATTAACATGAGCCATCCTTGTATAAAGGTCTTGAAAAGAGTTTGAGAAGCCAAAGGTCTAACAGAATAGATAGGGCAGAGACCTGTCCTGTTAGAATGTTCCAAGCCTAGACCAGACTGGAGAAAGGCCAGGATGCGAAGAATATTCCAAGTGCGATGGTAGATCCTACGGGAAGTAGTATTTCCCAGTCTGATGAAGTTGGGTCTGTTAGGAAGAGTAACTTGGGGGTGAATGGGTGTTAAAGTAACTCAGGGGTGTGAACACTGACCAAAGTGAAAAATATGGGGGGGGGGGGGGGGGAGTCCAGATTAACTCATTACACAACCAGAGGAATTTCAGCAGCTCAGATTTTATTAGAGATAAGGATAGAAAGATAGAAAAGATTTTCCTTCAAGGATGCAGATTGGTGAGATTCGCTTTATTACTGCAGACTCATAATCCAGCTGAATCCGCTACCAATAATAATTACAATAATAATGAGTCCTTCAACCTGAAATACAGCTACAAAATAATAACAGACATTTATAGAACATGTAAGATGTATTCCCCATCTCTTCCCCGACGACGACCAATCAGAAGACAGCTGTAGTCTATGATGGGGGGTCACTTCTTACCAGATCCACAGGGCAGCTGGGGTGGTCCAAGTGATAACAGGGAAGAACAGGTGTACTGGAGGCCTGAGACCCCCACCTTCTTGTCTTGTTTATACTAATAGATAAGAACATCTTTAAAGTTTAATCACAATCAGAACTAAGGAGCTAAAATACTACCATTCCAAATATTACAAACAAAAGGTGACCAGACACGTGGTGAGTAGGCACAAGGTGAGATGACACAGGGGACCAGACACGTGGTGAGAAGACACAGGGGACCAGACACGTGGTGAGAGGACACAGGGGACCAGACACGTGGTGAGAGGACACGGGACCAGACACGTGGTGAGAGGACACAGGGGACCAGACACATGGTGAGAGGACACAGGGGACCAGACTCGTGGTGAGAGGACACAGGGGACCAGACTCGTGGTGAGAGGACACAGGGGACCAGACTCGTGGTGAGAGGACACAGGGGACCAGACACGTGGTGGTGAGAGGACACAGGGGACCAGACACGTGGTGAGAGGACACAGGGGACCAGACACGTGGTGAGAGGACACGGGACCAGACACGTGGTGAGAGGACAGGGGACCAGACACGTGGTGAGAGGACAGGGGACCAGACACGCGGGAGAGAGAGGACACGGGACCCGACACATGGTGAGAGGACACGGGACCAGACACGTGGTGAGAAGACACAGGGGACCAGACACATGGTGAGAGGACACAGGGACCAGACACATGGTGAGCAGGCACAAGGTGAGAGGACACAGGTGACCAGACACATGGTGAGCAGAGAGAAATGGTGAGGAGATGTGGTGACCAGACACATGGTGATGAGACTCAAGGTGACCTGACTCTGAATTCACACATTCTCTGTAGACTTGGATTACTTGATTTCATACATAAAGTGTTGATGAACAGGATGGGGGGGAGGAAGGCTTCATCTCGGCATAGAGTGGTGGGTTTGTCTTCCTCTGCCATGTAGTCTTCATGCTCTCCTGACCTTCTAATGATGAAGACTTTCTCCCCATATTTACTATTCTAGACTGTAATCCTGAATATTGTAATTTTGAGCTTTTTCTGCAAGATAATTTCTGGATCATTGTGGCCTTCTTTGCGATCTGAGTCATCTTTCAGGACTTTCTGAGACAATCTGTCCTCTGGAATAGCATTGTGTGGCGAGAATAGTTCTTTGGTGAAACGTCGGTGTTCCTTGGTTGGGATGAAGATTGTATGTGTATGAACACAGGCGTGTGGAGAATAAACCGTGCGCAGATTTCTCTTCAAAACCTGAGAAAAGAAAGAGGTATCATCATCCTCATCTCACTGAGACCATCATTTCCACCTAGATGCCTTTCCTGGGAGTGTACTGAGTGCAGCAGATGGAAGGGATAGATGTCAGCAGGTCAGTATTATTAAATGATTGGAATTTGGAAATCAGGGAGTTGGAGTTCTCCCCCCAGGAGGGGGTCATGAAATATATCATATAATGCCTGTAGAGTATTTTACTTTGTGAGATGTTTCTTTAGTCCTGAACAAAAATACTACACTTTATGCAGAAATACTACACTTTATGCACAGAAATACTACACTTTATGCAGAAATACTACACTTTATGAGCAGAAATACTACACTTTATGAACAAAAATACTACACTTTATGCAGAAATACTACACTTTATGAGCAGAAATACTACACTTTATGCAGAAATACTACACTTTATGAGCAGAAATACTACACTTTATGAGCAGAAATACTACACTTTATGAGCAGAAATACTACACTTTATGAGCAGAAATACTACACTTTATGAGCAGAAATACTACACACTTTATGAGCAGAAATACTACACTTTATGAGCAGAAATACTACACTTTATGCAGAAATACTACACTTTATGCAGAAATACTACACTTTATGAGCAGAAATGCTACACTTTATGCAGAAATACTACACTTTATGAGCAGAAATACTACACTTTATGAGCAAAATACTACACTTTATGCAGAAATACTACACTTTATGAGCAGAAATACTACACTTTATGAGCAGAAATACTACACACTTTATGAGCAGAAATACTACACTTTATGCAGAAATACTACACTTTATGAGCAGAAATACTACACTTTATGCAGAAATACTACACTTTATGAGCAGAAATACTACACTTTATGCAGAAATACTACACTTTATGCAGAAATACTACACTTTATGAGCAGAAATACTACACTTTATGCAGAAATACTACACTTTATGCAGAAATATTACACTTTATGAGCAGAAATACTACACTTTATGCAGAAATACTGTAAATTCCCCTTCAATGATTACTACTACTGCAATTCTAGAATGATTTTTCTGGTTCAGGAATATGGGGGTGGGGTGGGCATTAGATGTATACAAACTGTACAGACGTATATAATGGGTGATATGAGCACATTTCTGGTGAATATACTGGCATTGGAAGGTGTTTATCAGGGGGGTTCTAGTATGCGCCATCTCTCCGCCATCTTCCTTGTCCCCAGTCTATCAGCATCTCTCTAGTTCATTCCTACCATCTAGCAGAATACAGATTTGGGTTGGATGCTCAGATATTAGTCCTTGGATATGATGAGATGCTTCTGGGGTTCAGTAATTAGAAAAGAAAAGACAAGACTTACTTCAACCATTTTGGCCAGAAATATGAAGCAATGTTGGAGAAGAGATCTTGGGGTACCGTGGCCGGTCGGACAGTGAAGAGGATGGTACGAATGGTGGTGATCTGTCTCACTGGGGTAGAGGTGGAATGTTTTTGCTTTGTTTCATCCGCTAGGCATGCAAAGTACATAGAACTGTTAGTATTGTCAGTCATTAGGAAAGCATTGATACACAAACGGTTACAAGGTCTTAGTCATAGACAGGCATGTATGAACATAGGTAGAGGTATGCAGGATGTGTGGTGTAACATGCTGTGTAATCATCTGAACCCCGCACATGCACCATTCCCATGTCAATTCACATACAGGAGAGGACATGTCATTAGTAATGGTGGAAATGCCCACAGACATTATTCCAAGTGAACTGAGGAAGAAACGGTCCAGCTGGCCAGACATGGTGGCCTTACCTCACCTTGTACCGTGGCGGAGGGGCTTCTCACCCACTTTGTCTCTTTAGCTCTTTGGCTTAGTTAGATTCTCCTCCATATTTTTGGATGGCAGGTACAGGCTGTATACCCCTCTCTTGTATCCGAAGAGTTTGCAAGGCTTTTTGGTAATTGCCTTGTAGGATGACCAGTCTTTGTGGTGTTGGTCTCCCCCAGGTGATGCAATATTGTTGTTATAGAGAGGAAACGTGGATGGTGGCTTGAGACAAGGGTAAGGACAGAGAGGTCTATGGGCCTGGCCAAAGCCTGGGCTGTAGACATGATTACCGAAATATGAGCGTTCTAGATAGAAGAAATGAAGGAAACCAACATAAAAATCCCGACCATAAATAAAAGAAAGATTCATATTCAAGAAAAACGATATCAAAAGCAGAACTTTTCTAGAATATAGATTACATTTGTTATAATGTAGGAAGAGAGTGATGGATGGATGGATGGATAGAGGGATGGGATGGAATCTACAGACTGATGAATGGATGAGAAGATAGAGGAAGGGATAAATGGTTAGAAGGATGGAATGGGATCTACAGACTGATGAATGGATGAGAAGATAGAGGAAAGGTTAAATGGTTAGAAGGATGGAATGGGATCTACAGACTGATGAATGGATGAGAAGATAGAGAAGGGATGAATGGTTAGAAGGATGGAATGGGATCTACAGACTGATGAATGGATGAGAAGATAGAGGAAAGGATAAATGGTTAGAAGGATGGAATGGGATCTACAGACTGATGAATGGATGAGAAGATAGAGGAAGGGATGAATGGTTAGAAGGATGGAATGGGATCTACAGACTGATGAATGGATGAGAAGATAGAGGAAAGGATGAATGTTTAGAAGGATAGGACAGAATCTACAGACTGATGAATGGATGAGAAGATAGAGGAAGGGATAAATGGTTAGAAGGATGGAATGGGATCTACAGACTGATGAATGGATGAGAAGATAGAGGAAGGGATGAATGTTTAGAAGGATAGGACAGAATCTACAGACTGATGAATGGATGAGAAGATAGAGGAAGGGATGAATGTTTAGAAGGATGGGACAGAATCTACAGACTGATGAATGGATGAGAAGATAGAGGAAGGGATGAATGTTTAGAAGGATGGGACAGGATCTACAGACTGATGAATGGATGAGAAGATAGAGGAAGGGATAAATGGTTAGAAGGATGGAATGGGATCTACAGACTGATGATTGAATGAAAAGATCAACAGTGGAAGGGAGGAATGGATGAAGAGATGGGTAAAGGGACAGGACAGGATCCAAAGATGGATGGATGGTTAGAGGATTGGGACAGGATCTCCAGGCTGATGGAGGAATGAAAAGATCAGTAGAGGAAGAAGTGGATAAATGGATGGATGTAGGGATGGGACAGGACCTACAGACTAACAGATGGATGGAGTAACAGTTGGGATGAGGAATGGATGGATGGTTGTTGGGATGGGACAGGACCTACAGACTACAAGATGGATGGAGTAACAGTTGGGATGAGGAATGGATGGATGGTTGTTGGGATGGGACAGGACCTACAGACTAACAGATGGATGGAGTAACAGTTGGGATGAGGAATGGATGGATGGTTGTTGGGATGGGACAGGACCTACAGACTAACAGATGGATGGAGTAACAGATGGGATGAGGAATGGATGGATGGTTGTAGGGATGGGACAGGACCTACAGACTAACAGATGGATGGAGTAACAGTTGGGATGAGGAATGGATGGATGGTTGTAGGGATGGGACAGGACCTACAGACTAACAGATGGATGGAGTAACAGTTGGGATGAGGAATGGATGGATGGTTTTTGGGATGGGACAGGACCTACAGACTAACAGATGGATGGAGTAACAGTTGGGATGAGGAATGGATGGATGGTTGTAGGGATGGGACAGGACCTACAGACTAACAGATGGATGGAGTAACAGTTGGGATGAGGAATGGATGGATGGTTGTAGGGATGGGACAGGACCTACAGACTAACAGATGGATGGAGTAACAGTTGGGATGAGGAATGGATGGATGGTTGTAGGGATGGGACAGGACCTACAGACTAACAGATGGATGGAGTAACAGTTGGGATGAGGAATGGATGGATGGTTGTTGGGATGGGACAGGACCTACAGACTAACAGATGGATGGAGTAACAGTTGGGATGAGGAATGGATGGATGGTTGTTGGGATGGGACAGGACCTACAGACTAACAGATGGATGGAGTAACAGTTGGGATGAGGAATGGATGGATGGTTGTAATGTTGGATTCATAGAGGGATGGAGCAGTTGATTCTCTGGGGGTTGGAGAGAGAGGGGAAGAAGGAATGTGTGGATTATTTAGTACATGGATGGTGGATGTACAATTGATACATATATTTCTGGGGGGAGGAATGGACAGATGGTTGTATGGATCCATGAATAGATTGAAGGTAATAGCAATGAGAGAGATTAGAGAGATAGACAGATGACAGATGACAGATGATAGATGATAGATTATTATTATTATTATAGAGGATTTATATGGCGGCAGAAGGTTTGCTCAGCGCTGTACATTATAGTGGGGACAGAACATGAGACAAGACAGTAACAATACAATACACGAGGGGGGGAGGGTCCTGATCCTTGGAGCTTACAATCTAGGAGGGGGGGAGAGTGGTACAGGAGGAAGTGGCTGTGGGGGATGGAGTGGTCGGAGGAGTGGAGGAGGTCGGCTGTTAGGTGAGGGTGGGGTAGGCTTCCCTGAAGAGATGGGTTTTTAGGGAGCGCCTGAAGGTGAGGAGGGAAGGTGACAGTCTGATGGATTGGGGTAGGGAGTTCCAGAGGATGGGGGAAGTCCTGGAGAAGTCCTGCAGTCGGGCGTGGGAGGAGGAGACCAGGGAGCTGGAGAGTAGGAGGTCCTGTGAGGAGTGAAGGGCACGGGTGGGGTGGTATTTGGGTATCAGGTCAGTTATGTAGTTTGGGGCGGCGTTGTGAATGGCTTTGTAGGTCAGAGTTAGTAGTTTGAATTTGATGCGTTGGGCAATCGGGAGCCAGTGGAGGGAATGACAGAGGTGGGTGGAGGACACTGAATGGAGGTCAGTGGAGGGAATGACAGAGGGGGGTGGAGGACACTGAGTGGAGGCCAGTGGAGGGATTGGCAGAGAGGGGTGGAGGACACTGAATGGAGGTCAGTGGAGGGAATGACAGAGGGGGGTGGAGGACACTGAGTGGAGGCCAGTGGAGGGATTGGCAGAGAGGGGTGAGGACTGAATGGACACTGAATGACAGAGGGGGGTGGAGGCCAGTGGAGGGATTGACAGAGGGGGGTGGAGGACACTGAATGGAGGCCAGTGGAGGGATTGGCAGAGGGGGGTGGAGGACACTGAATGGAGGCCAGTGGAGGGATTGGCAGAGGGGGGTGGAGGACACTGAGTGGAGGCCATTGTAGGGATTGGCAGAGGGGGGAGGCAGATACGGAGCGGTTGGTGAGGTGGATGAGTCTGGCCGCTGAGTTCAGGATAGACTGAAGCGGGGATAGTCTGTGATGAGGGAGGCCGGTGAGGAGGGAGTTGCAGTAGTCCAGGCGTGAGATGATGAGGGAGTGTACGAGTTGTTTAGTAGTGTCTAGGGTGAGGAACGTACGTATCTTGGAGATGTTGCGGAGGTGGAGCCTGCATGAGTTTGCCAACGATTAGACATGGGGTAGGAAGGAGAGGTTTGAGTCCAGAGTGACACCCAGGACTTTGGCTTGTGGGGTGGGAGTGATGGTGGCATTGTTACTAGTGATGGAGAGGATGGGGGGGGGGGCGCGGGGTGGGGGGAAGACCAGGAGCTCGGTTTTCGAAAGGTTTAATTTGAGGAAATGGAGCGACATCCAGTCTGATATGTTGTTCAGGAGGTGGGCAATGTGGGCGGAGAGAGAGGGGGTGAGGTGAGGGGCGGAGAGGTAAATTTGCATGTTGTCCGCATAGAGGTGGTAGTTGAAGCCCTGGGAGTGTATTAGTTGGCCGAGGGAGGAGGTGTAGATGGAGAAGAGAAGGGGACCGAGGACAGAGCCTTGGGGGACCCCGACAGAGAGGGGGAGGTGGCAGTGTTATAGGTGACGCTGAAGGAACGCTGTGATAGGTAAGAGGAGAACCAGGAGAGGGCGGAGTCTCTGATGTCGAGGGAGTGTAGTTTAGTAAGGAGGGGGGGGGGTGGACTGTGTGGAAGGCCGCAGAGAGGTCAAGGAGTAGGAGCACTGAATAGTGGCCATTAGCTTTGGCGGTTAGCAGGTCGTTGGAGAGTTTAAGTAGGGCAGTTTCGGTGGAGTGTAGGGCAGTTTCAGTGGAGTGTAGGGCAGTTTCGGTGGAGTGTAGGGCGGGTTCGGTGGAGTGTAGGGCAGTTTCGGTGGAGTGTAGGGCAGTTTCGGTGGAGTGTAGGGCTGTTTCGGTGGAGTGTAGGGCGGTTTCGGTGGAGTGTAGGGCAGTTTCGGTGGAGTGTAGGGCAGTTTCGGTGGAGTGTAGGGTTTTGTAGGGGGTTTCGGTGTTGTGTAGGGGGGTTTCGGTGGAGTGTAGGGCGGGTTCGGTGGAGTGTAGGGGACGGAAGCCAGACTGTAAGGGATCGAGGAGCTTGTTATCAGTGAGGTGGGTGCTTAGGTGATTGTAGGCCAGGCGCTCAAGGAGCTTGGAAGTGAATGGTAGCAGGGAGATGGGTCTGAGGTTGTTCAGGTCAGTGGGGTCAAGGAAGAATTTTTTGAGTATGGGGGTGATGTGCTCGTGCTTTCGGGGGGAGGGGAAGGTGCCGGTGGAGGGAGAGATTGAAGATGTGGGTGAGGGAGCGAAGGATGGGGGGGGGGGTGACTGGAGGAGCTGTGAGGGGATAGGGTCCAGGGGGCAGGTGGTGAGGCGGGCTTCAGTGAAGACCTTAGAGACCTCCTCAGGAGTAGCTGGGCTGAGGGAGTAGAGCGTTGGGGAGGTGATAGTGTGCGGGGCGTTAGGCATAGTGGGGGGTATGAGGTCGGAGGAGGAGAGGGTTGAGGGGTTGAGGGAGGGCGGGGGGCTGGGTGGAGAGGTAGATTGTGAGTTGACAATGTCCTTTACGGATTGCGTCAATCTTGTTTTGGAAATGATTGGCAATCTCGTGGGCGGTGAGTGAGGTGCTGAGTGGAGGTGGGGGGGGGGGGGAGAGCAGGGATTTGAAAGTGGAGAAGAGCCGGCGAGGACAGGTGGAGAGGGTTGATGAGGGTCAGGAAGTAGGCTTGTTTGGTGGCGTGGAGGGAGGAGGTGTAGGTGAGGAAGGCTGCTTTGTAGAGGGAGAACGCAAGAGGCAATCTGGTTTTGCGCCATAAGCGCTCCAGTGCGCGACTGCATCGTTTGAGACTTTTTGTGTGGTCGTCTTGCCAGGGTTGAAGCGGTCGGGGTCTAATGCTACGTGTGGTTAGGGGTGCCAGGGAGTCGAGGGCAGCTGACAGCGAATCGTTGTACGCAGTAGTGGCCAGGTCAGAGCAGGACAGAGGGAGGATGCTGTCATACAGACGGTCAGCTGCCGGGTGGAGATGGGTCGGGTATGGTATTATTAGAAGTATGAGTGGGCTTTCTAAATGATCTCAATCAATGGAGTATATAGATAATGGATGTACATCAGAATGGATCTGTAGATTGATTGATGGAAGCAGATAGGTAGATGAACTGGTAATATTTGAGGTATAAGAAGACTTTGTAGATGACCATATGGATAATGGATGGATATATGGATGATGGATGTAGATCAGAATAGATGGATAATGGATGGATATATGGATGATGGATAATGGATGGATATATAGATGATGGATAATGGATGGATATATGGATGATGGATGTAGATCAGAATAGATGGATAATGGATGGATATATGGATGATGGATAATGGATGGATATATAGATGATGGATGTAGATCAGAATAGATGGATAATGGATGGATATATGGATGATGGATAATGGATGGATATATGGATGATGGATAATGGATGGATATATGGATGATGGATGTAGATCAGAATAGATCTGTAGATGGTTGGAAGCATGGGTGACTTGTATGGTATTCGTAGAGATACGAGGTGACTTTCTAGGTAATCACAATCAATGGAGTATATGGATGATAGATACACATCAGGATGGATTGGTAGATTGATGGAAGCAGATTGGTAGATGAGGTACGGCAGTATTAGAAGACTTCCTTTATGATCCCAACCAATAAAGTATATAGATGGTGGATGTAGATCAGAATGGATCTGTAGATGGATGGATAAATTGGTAGATAAGATTGGAGACATGAAAGAACTTTCTAGATGATCACAATCTGCTGGTGCTGGAGTGAATTTGATAAGAGAAACCATTTAAGCTTCCTCACCAACTCCAATCATTTTCCTCTTACCTGAAAATCCGGATTTGAAACCCCATTTCACACCTTTAGAGAAGAACTTTGGTTTGAGCAGATCCTTTTTAGGAAAAAAAGAAACGTTTGCCTTTTGTTTGCTCTTTTCTTTCTCCTTCTTTAGTTTTTGGGCTGTTCTTGGATCAGAATATGGATTCTTTTGGTCTTTCTGGCCCTTGTTTAGATCTTTAGATGGTGGCATTAACAGTTGAAGAGGTTTTGGTGTTGCTTGGACCGGGCTGTCCTTCGGGTGATCCTTGTCCACTAATACAGAGACATCTTCATCCAACACTTTCTTAGAAGATGATGATGCAGTGCCAATTGTAGCCATAGTTGGTACATCACCTGTGTTTAGCCCATCTTTTGAAAACGTTTGATCACTTATGGTTTTAGAAGGCGAAGGTGACCCCAATGAGATGGACGGACGCTCTGGAGTAGGTGGGACAATGCTAATACTTTCCAAAATCTTATCTGTCTTTGTGGAAACTGTATTATCACCAGAACTCCTTGTAGTGGTGAGGGAAGAATCTGTGTAGCTTTGCCTTCCAGATTCCTCGGGTATCCTGTCATCCTTCTGTTTCTCGGTAGGTGGAGTATTGGCATTTGAATGGCGTGCACCTTGATCCAAGCTGGTATGCTCTATAGCTGTGGCAGGCAATATGGATCTATCATCATCATCAGTTGTGCCAAGAGCTATCTGTGGACTTGAATCTTCAGGTGTCTGTGGGTAGCCAATGGAGGAATCCTCTGGACCGGATGGAGTTAAGTCCAGTATCTGATCGGATGTTGTGGTTGATGATCTTGTGGTTGGTATGGTGGATGATAATGTTGTGGTTGGTACAGGTGGTGGTGTTGGGTCAGACTCAGACTTTGCTGTCGTAATGTCTGCTTCCAATACTGTTTTGTCTGAAGAAGATTCTAGTTGTTTCTCTGGTATCAGCTGTGACGTTGTGTCTGGTCCCAATTCAGATGTTGTATCTGGTGCCATGGGTACCGTATCTGGAGAAATCGTTATTGTATACGGTGCCATCATTATTGTATATAGAGCCAGCTCAGGTACGCTCTCAGGGGCCGGCTCAGAGCTCGTGTCTGGCAAATCTGTGCTGCTTTCCTTTGGCTCTTTGTCTAAATCTGATTGTAAATAGAAAGATCTCCCGTTACAGGCAATAGATCAGCAGATGTGACACAATCATACATGACGTGGATATAAACATGTCCCGTGGGTCTCATAGATCTCTGATCAGGCAGGACGTCTCCATGTCACACATTCCAAGAATAACAAAATATGTTTGTCTCAAAGAGAAAATCCACTTTTGTGGGAAAATATGAATCTGGAATAAACATTTGTTACAAGTTGTGTTGTAATTATTGTTAATATCATTTCCCCTTCCTGCAGCTGCTGCAATATGGTAACCTGGAGATGTCCTGCACACAGACCGCACCCACAAATGTCATTTCCTGCTCTGTGATTGGCTCACTGACTCCCAGAAGTCTGCAGTCACATTTTAGGAATCCCCAGTTATAGAGATTTCACTTTTGGTAAGATACTTCCCAAGGGTTCAATACTTCTAAAGGGATGAACACTGAGAGTGCACCAGGTGATTATAATGAACCAGATCCCCCCTCCCCCCAGATCAGATCAGCCTGCACAGGACACGGGGAAACAAACAGCTATTTCTTCAGAGCAACAAAAGGTAGAAATCTGCTACACAGTTTGTTAATATCTCTGGGATTTACATTGATCACCCAGAGGGGAGTTTGGTTTTCTCAACAAAAGCGGAGTCAGTCTTTAAGTTCACTTTGAGATCTCAGTGACCCGGGTCATTCAACCAGGAGGAAGGATCTTGGTGACATGGGTCATTCTACTAGGAGGAAGCATTTCCCTGACCCGGGTCATTCTACCAGGAGGAAGGATCTTGGTGACCCGGGTCATTCTACCAGGAGGAAGGATCTTGGTGACACGGGTCGTTCTACTAGGAGGAAGCATCTCCGTGACCCGGGTCATTCTACTAGAAGGAAGGATCTCCGTGACCCGGGTCATTCTATTAGGAGGAAGGATCTCCATGACACGGGTCATTCTACTAGGAGGAAGGATCTCGATGACCCGGGTCATTCTACTAGGAGGAAGGATCTCGGTGACCCGGGTCATTCTACCAGGAGGAAGGATCTCGGTGACCCGGGTCATTCTACTAGGAGGAAGGATCTCCGTGACCCGGGTCATTCTACTAGGAGGAAGGATCTCAGTGACACAGGTCATTCTACTAGGAGGAAGCATCTCCATGACACAGGTCATTCTACTAGGAGGAAGGATCTCGGTGACCCGGGTCATTCTACTAGGAGGAAGCATCTCCATGACACAGGTCATTCTACTAGGAGGAAGGATCTCGGTGACACAGGTCATTCTACTAGGAGGAAGCATCTCCATGACACAGGTCATTCTACTAGGAGGAAGGATCTCGGTGACCGGGTCATTCTACTAGGAGGAAGGATCTCGGTGACCCGGGTCATTCTACCAGGAGGAAGGATCTCGGTGACCCGGGTCATTCTACTAGGAGGAAGGATCTCAGTGACCCGGGTCATTCTACTAGGAGGAAGGATCTCAGTGACACAGGTCATTCTACTAGGAGGAAGCATCTCCATGACACAGGTCATTCTACTAGGAGGAAGGATCTCGGTGACCCGGGTCATTCTACCAGGAGGAAGGATCTCGGTGACCCGGGTCATTCTACTAGGAGGAAGGATCTCAGTGACACAGGTCATTCTACTAGGAGGTAGCATCTCCATGACACAGGTCATTCTACTAGGAGGAAGCATCTCCATGACACAGGTCATTCTACTAGGAGGAAGGATCTCGGTGACCCGGGTCATTCTACTAGGAGGAAGGATCTCGGTGACCCGGGTCATTCTACCAGGAGGAAGGATCTCGGTGACCCGGGTCATTCTACTAGGAGGAAGGATCTCGGTGACCCGGGTCATTCTACCAGGAGGAAGGATCTCGGTGACCCGGGTCATTCTACTAGGAGGAAGCATCTCCATGACACAGGTCATTCTACTAGGAGGAAGGATCTCAGTGACACAGGTCATTCTACTAGGAGGAAGCATCTCCATGACACAGGTCATTCTACTAGGAGGAAGGATCTCGGTGACCCGGGTCATTCTACTAGGAGGAAGGATCTCCGTGACCCGGGTCATTCTACTAGGAGGAAGGATCTCCGTGACCCGGGTCATTCTACTAGGAGGAAGGATCTCGGTGACCCGGGTCATTCTACTAGGAGGAAGCATTTCCCTGACCCGGGTCATTCTACCAGGAGGAAGGATCTTGGTGACCCGGGTCATTCTACCAGGAGGAAGGATCTTGGTGACACGGGTCGTTCTACTAGGAGGAAGCATCTCCGTGACCCGGGTCATTCTACTAGAAGGAAGGATCTCCGTGACCCGGGTCATTCTATTAGGAGGAAGGATCTCCATGACACGGGTCATTCTACTAGGAGGAAGGATCTCGATGACCCGGGTCATTCTACTAGGAGGAAGGATCTCGGTGACCCGGGTCATTCTACCAGGAGGAAGGATCTCGGTGACCCGGGTCATTCTACTAGGAGGAAGGATCTCCGTGACCCGGGTCATTCTACTAGGAGGAAGGATCTGGGTGACCCGGGTCATTCTACTAGGAGGAAGGATCTGGGTGACCCGGGTCGTTCTACTAGGAGGAAGCATCTCCGTGACACGGGTCATTCTACTAGGAGGAAGGATCTCGGTGACACGGTCGTTCTACTAGGAGGAAGGATCTCGGTGACCCGGGTCATTCTACCAGGAGGAAGGATCTCGGTGACCCGGGTCATTCTACTAGGAGGAAGGATCTCAGTGACACAGGTCATTCTACTAGGAGGAAGCATCTCCATGACACAGGTCATTCTACTAGGAGGAAGGATCTCGGTGACCCGGGTCATTCTACTAGGAGGAAGCATCTCCATGACACAGGTCATTCTACTAGGAGGAAGGATCTCGGTGACACAGGTCATTCTACTAGGAGGAAGCATCTCCATGACACAGGTCATTCTACTAGGAGGAAGGATCTCGGTGACCCGGGTCATTCTACTAGGAGGAAGGATCTCGGTGACCCGGGTCATTCTACCAGGAGGAAGGATCTCGGTGACCCGGGTCATTCTACTAGGAGGAAGGATCTCAGTGACCCGGGTCATTCTACTAGGAGGAAGGATCTCAGTGACACAGGTCATTCTACTAGGAGGAAGCATCTCCATGACACAGGTCATTCTACTAGGAGGAAGGATCTCGGTGACCCGGGTCATTCTACCAGGAGGAAGGATCTCGGTGACCCGGGTCATTCTACTAGGAGGAAGGATCTCAGTGACACAGGTCATTCTACTAGGAGGAAGCATCTCCATGACACAGGTCATTCTACTAGGAGGAAGCATCTCCATGACACAGGTCATTCTACTAGGAGGAAGGATCTCGGTGACCCGGGTCATTCTACTAGGAGGAAGGATCTCGGTGACCCGGGTCATTCTACCAGGAGGAAGGATCTCGGTGACCCGGGTCATTCTACTAGGAGGAAGGATCTCGGTGACCCGGGTCATTCTACCAGGAGGAAGGATCTCGGTGACCCGGGTCATTCTACTAGGAGGAAGCATCTCCATGACACGGTCATTCTACTAGGAGGAAGGATCTCAGTGACACAGGTCATTCTACTAGGAGGAAGCATCTCCATGACACAGGTCATTCTACTAGGAGGAAGGATCTCGGTGACCCGGGTCATTCTACTAGGAGGAAGGATCTCGGTGACCCGGGTCATTCTACCAGGAGGAAGGATCTCGGTGACCCGGGTCATTCTACTAGGAGGAAGGATCTCAGTGACCCGGGTCATTCTACTAGGAGGAAGGATCTCAGTGACACAGGTCATTCTACTAGGAGGAAGCATCTCCATGACACAGGTCATTCTACTAGGAGGAAGGATCTCGGTGACCCGGGTCATTCTACCAGGAGGAAGGATCTCGGTGACCCGGGTCATTCTACTAGGAGGAAGGATCTCAGTGACACAGGTCATTCTACTAGGAGGAAGCATCTCCATGACACAGGTCATTCTACTAGGAGGAAGCATCTCCATGACACAGGTCATTCTACTAGGAGGAAGGATCTCGGTGACCCGGGTCGTTCTACTAGGAGGAAGGATCTCAGTGACACAGGTCATTCTACTAGGAGGAAGGATCTCGGTGACCTGGATCAATCTACTAGGAGGAAGAATCTCAGTGACCCGGGTCATTCTACTAGGAGGAAGGATTTTGGTGACCCGGTGCATTCTAATAGGAGGAAGGATCTCGGTGACCCAGGTCATTCTACTAGGAGGAAGGATTTTGGTGACCCGGGTCATTCTACCAGGAGGAAGGATCTTGGTGACACGGGTCGTTCTACTAGGAGGAAGCATCTCCGTGACCCGGGTCATTCTACTAGGAGGAAGGATCTCCGTGACCCGGGTCATTCTATTAGGAGGAAGGATCTCCATGACACGGGTCATTCTACTAGGAGGAAGGATCTCGATGACCCGGGTCATTCTACTAGGAGGAAGGATCTCGGTGACCCGGGTCATTCTACCAGGAGGAAGGATCTCGGTGACCCGGGTCATTCTACTAGGAGGAAGGATCTCCGTGACCCGAGTCATTCTACTAGGAGGAAGGATCTGGGTGACCCGGGTCATTCTACTAGGAGGAAGGATCTGGGTGACCCGGGTCGTTCTACTAGGAGGAAGCATCTCCGTGACCCGGGTCATTCTACTAGGAGGAAGGATCTCGGTGACACGGGTCGTTCTACTAGGAGGAAGGATCTCGGTGACCCGGGTCATTCTACCAGGAGGAAGGATCTCGGTGACCCGGGTCATTCTACTAGGAGGAAGGATCTCAGTGACACAGGTCATTCTACTAGGAGGAAGCATCTCCATGACACAGGTCATTCTACTAGGAGGAAGCATCTCCATGACACAGGTCATTCTACTAGGAGGAAGGATCTCGGTGACACAGGTCATTCTACTAGGAGGAAGCATCTCCATGACACGGGTCATTCTACCAGGAGGAAGGATCTCGGTGACACAGGTCATTCTACTAGGAGGAAGCATCTCCATG